AGTGTTGGGATAGATTATTGATGTCTGCCAGCAGCATGGTGCACGGGATAAATAGCATTGGGGCCACATAACTGTACTCACTAACCAGCATTTTGATAGGTCTCTTTATAAAGCAGGCTAACTTGCACCTGAGGAAACAGAGAGCAATACCCTGAAGGAATGGGACGCAAGACAGTTATATTTTGATAAAGTGATGGAGGAGCTAGAGTGTGAATTTTATTGGAGAAGCCAGACCTGTAGTCTAAGTAACTGTGCTAAAGTGGGAAAGGGACAGATATCAGGCAGTGAGAATCCAGAAAGTGAATTAGACTGTCAGCTTCTTCAGGGAAGGGACTGTGCTAATCTGTCTTTGAATTGTCCATGCCTGGAGTTGTGCTTCGCCAATATCTAAGAACAGGCATCAGTTAACAATTGTCGAGCCAAACATGATCCGACTAAAGGTATCAACAGGGTGATGATTCCAGCAACATCAGCCACAATAGCTACCATTCAGTGGTCACTTGCGGTGACTGGATGGAATGCTAAGTCCTTTACAGGGAATATTTTATTTAACCCTCATAACCACCATATGAAGTGTGCATTTAAGTCTCCATTTTGCAGGTAGGAAAACTGAGGCTGAAGTTAGTTACTAACCTGAAGTCACCCAGCTAAAAAGTGGCAGAGCTGGGCTTCATTCTCCACATGCTGTGCTCTTAACCACTTGAAGAATAATACTATTTTTAAGTAAACTCTATTCTTCTTTTTTTTTTTTTCATAGAGAGAGATTTTTGCTACAGGGTGTATGCACCTTCTAGAGAGACAGAGAGAGACAGAGAGATGAGAAATCATCCCCTGGGAGGTGGCTACACCACAATCCCTTCTCCTCCATTCTACTCTTGGGATTTTGGGCATGCATGCACATGTGCCCTGTGAGAATTTTAAGCCACTGGGACTGGGACTTGAACCACAGTCAACTAGGAGTCCAGCAACATGTCCATTACGCCATCTGCTGGTCCCAAGTAAACCCTATTCTAGACACTGTTCTATAATATGTGCTTAAGTTCATTTCTTTAATCCTTACAACCAGCCCATTTCAACATAAACTATTTAATCTTCGTAGAATCTTTGTAATACTGATGGAAAAACTGAGGCGTGGGCACATGAGGTCACTCCAAGATCACACAGCTCAGAAATGACGGAGGTGAAATTCGAACCCTGGCACTTGGGCTCCAACCTCTGGACTTATTACCTGAGACTCCCAATTTAGCAGCTTTGACACTATTGTGCTTCTAAGTCATGGGTCATCAGAAAAGTCACTATATATTTTTCTGTTTTTCTATGCAAACATGTTTCATGATTTTTCTGACAACCCAATATATGGCTGATTGGTATCTGGTGGTTTTTCATAGTCCCACCCTGCACACTAGTATTCCAAAAATTATTAGCCTCTACCCCAAAGTAAGTGTCGAAATTGCATTTTTCACAGACTTCCTTTGCTCGCCATAGAATCACTTTGGACAAGTTGCTTAACCAGCCCAGCCTCAATGTCCTCCTCATTAAATCACTAATTTTACTTTATCCTATTTAAAAAAAAAAAAAAAAAAAACGTTTTTCCCATAGGGCACGTGCACTCGCTAGAGAGAGACAGTAAGAGGGAAGGCAAGAAATCATGCCCCAGGAGGAATAGCCATGCCTCAATCCCTTCTCCATTCTCCTCTGGGGATTTTGGACACATACGCATGTGCAACCAGTGTCGTTTTTCAAGCTGCCAGTCCCGGGCTGGAACCGCAGTCACCTGTGTGAGAGTCCAGCACCTTTACCACCACATCATCTGCTGGCCCCTAAAGTCACCGTTTGAAAGTGCAGCTTCCTCTCTTACCTCACCTGGCTGCTGAGGGGTTCAAAAGAGTCAATGCTGTGGATACTGGGAGCTTTATCAACCTCCTAGCAATTGAGAACAGGAACTCAGCTGGGAGATGTTGATTGATCTTGTGGGGGTGGGATCCCACCTACCTCTCCCCTGCAAGTGACTCAGTTCATACCCCATTGTCATGACTAAGGATAGTTTTAAATAGCCCAGGTTTCTTTAAACTGCATTGAACATGACATCAACTTCAGGGTGGGAACCAGGGCCTGAGAGCAATTAGTGGGAGATTTTCAGGGCAGGGATGAGAGGAGAGGAAAGGCAAAGGAGGGGTGAGCTTGGTTTCCAGTTTACCTTCATCTCCAAGCACCACCCCTACCCTAAATCCACCTAGGGGCTGCGGCCTTCTTAAAAAGCCAGCAAATGTATCTTTGCTTTTGCCCAGAAGGGGTCACTGCAGAGCGCGCAGTGCTCCTCAGGCATTCAAGCCGGCGCACAGACGTTGAAGGACACACAAACCCAAGTGTATATACTTCCAGGACAGAATCGCGTGCACTCCAGGGTTCCGTCTTCCTCCACACCACCTTGACTCTCTCTCGCCACCATCACCCCCCAGCCCTTCGATCCCTACTTTCATTCTCTTTCAATTTCTGATATTCAAGTTGGAGATCTTTGGTCTCTTGGTTCCCCATTGTTAGAAGCATCTTCAAACTCCGTGGGTTTATTTCCTGTGGCTGGGACCCAGTGTCAGGATCTCAAAGGACTGGAAGACTCAACGAGGCTCCTTCCAGGATTTTACAGCCTAGGAGGATGGAGAAAAGAGTAGCTGAGATGAAAAAGTCCCAGAGGAGAGGTGGGTTGAAGGGGTTCCGCAAAAAAAAAATCTGTTTTTAAAAACTGAAAACTCGGGGGGGGGGGGGGGGGGGGGCCGGAAATCT